GCGAAGCAATTTGGCCTTGCAGTCGATGTTGATGGTTGACCTGGGTCAACCCATGATTTTATGCGTTTGGGATTCTCAACATAAATCCACTTTTCATCGCCAGTCACAATTTGATGCAAAAAAGACTTTCATGCCGTTGAAGCAACATTTTACTGATGACTTTTCGGTTTTCCATTTGTCTTTCATTCAGTTGATGTGGCACCCATTTTCCTTCCTTTAAAAGCTTTCCCATGGCTTGTAAATAATCAGAAATTGTTTGCTGCGCAACGTTTAATCTTTCTACAAGTTGTTTTTGAGTTTGACATGCATATTCATCCAATAATGCTTGTGATTGTTGTGGTTCAACTTTTTCAGTTGACCTGGATGTTCTTTGTCTTTCACATGGAAATCATCACTTTTAAAGTGTTTAAACCAGCGTTCACAAGTATCTTGAGATGGAGCATGTTCACCATAAGCTTCCCGAAGTATACAGTAACTTTTTCTTCAAAATAAACTAATGAATTAAAACTTCCTGTAAATGCTCTTTTGGGCATGAAATTTGACATTTTTAAGTGTAAAAATATCTATGATGTTAACACCTTCAGCAAATTTGAAATACGAAGTTTTGAAGCATGCTGTCAATATAAAAAAATAGCATACATATCAAATTGCATATATATCAAATATGTGTAACTCCATCTATTGAAAAAAATCTGCATTATTAACCGGTACACCTAGTATATGCCTCTCAATGATCCCACTTCTAGGAATATATCCCAGGCTATTAGAAACACCAATCAGAAAGGATATATGCACCCCTATGTTCATAGCAGCACAATTTACCATAGCTAAGATTTGGAAACAGCCTAAGTGCCCATCAGCAGATGAATGGATTGAAAAACTGGTATATATACACAATGGAATACTACGCTGTGGTAAAAAAGGACTTCTTACTATTTGTAAAAGCATGGATGGAACTAGAGAGCATTATGCTAAGTGAAATAAGCCAGTCAGAGAAAGATAAATATCACATGATGTCACTTATTTATGGAAAATAATGAACAACATAAACTGATGAACAAAACAGATCCAGAGACAGAGAAGCATCGATCAGACCGTCAAACCTCAGAGTGAAGGTGGGGAGGGAGGGGGTAAGGGGAAGAGATCAACCAAAGGACTTGTATGCATGCATGTAAGCCTAACCAATGGACACAGACATCAGTGGGGGTGAGGGCATGAGTGGGGGATAGAGGGAAGGCAATGGGAGGATAAAAACATATGTAATACCTTAATCAATAAAGGGGGAAAAAAGTTATATGACCACCCATCGTGAATTACCTGGTTAGGAATTTATGGTCAGACTAGGGCAGTGTGGTGAGCCTATGAACTCATTTTTTTGGTTGATTTTTCTTTGTTAAATGGCATTTAAATATATAAAGTAAATATCAAAAATGTAAGTCTTTGTTTTACTATGGTTGCAAATATCAAAAAATTTCTATATGTGATATGGCACCAGAGTTAAGTTAGGGTTTTTCAAAATGTTGAGACACCGAGCTCAGAAGGTTCGCCATCACTGGACTAGGGGCTCAGTGCACAAATTCGTGCACCTTGAACTGTGGGCCGAAAAGCTGTGGTGGGCACAGAGGCGGGTGTTGGCCCATCCTCTGTGCCTCGCCTGGCCCTTCCTGCAGCAGCCCCCAGTCCCATGTCTGCTGGCTGCCCTGCTCCTGCCACCACCGCTCCCACACACTGACAGCATCGGCCCCACTCGTACCCGCTGATGGCACGGAACGATTGGGGCCAGAGCCAGCAAAGGGTGCGAGCGGAGCCAGCGCCGTCAGTGGGTGTGAGTGGCCTGGCACTGGCAGTGGGTGCAAGAGGCGGCTGCTGGCCCCAGTCGCCCCTCAGGAGCAGGGTGAGGTAGAAAAGGCCTGAGGGGCAACCGGGGCCAGCAGCTGCTGCTTGCACTTGCTGATGGTGTCAAGCAATTGGGGCCGGGTGCTGGCAGCGGGTGCAGGTGACAGCTTCAGCACCAGCACTGGGTGCAAGTGGGGCCAGCACCAGCATCAGGTGTGAGCGCTGGGTGGGACCGTGGCATGTGGGAGTAAAGAATTTTCAGTAACCACCAGAGGCTCGCCCTGATGACAGCGACGGTGCCCCTGCTCACCTGCCCCACCATCCCGCCACAGCTGACAATGCCTCCATGTTCTGCATGCACCTCCTGGTGGTCAGCGCACACAGTGACTGGTTGTTCCGCTCTTCAGTTGATTTGCATATTAGGGTTTTATATACAGGCAATCCTTGAGTTACGTTGGACTCGACGTACGTCGTTACATTGCCATTTCCCATTTTCAGTATTTATTTTTAAAAAAAGCTTCGTCATTTCGACGTATGTACATATGTCCTTTATGTTTTATTTATTGACCACAAGTAAAGGTCAGGAATTGTTATCTTTTAAATTTTTTTACTGTTTCACTTCATTGTGCTGTGTATGTGCTCCATGTGAGTGATATAGGTGCTTATGTATTTGGGTTCCGACTTATGGCAAAAATCGCATTATGTCGCATTGTAGGAATAGATCTCCAACGTAACCCGAGGACCTACTGTATATAGATCACCCTGTGAGATTACTTCCCTTAGAACCCCTTTCAGGTCTACACCACTGTAGGAGAGTCCCTAACTCTCTAATAAGAGTTGAAAGCAGCAATTTCAACCGGTGTGCCACAGCATATGCCGCCAGAATTTTAAAGCGTGCGATACCTTGAGTATGTAGTCAGAGGCACTGACCTCTTTTCCTGTAGACTGTCAAATTTAAAAATAACAATAACCAACACAACAATAGCCGCCCGTGTGAATGAATGAAAATTATACCTTTGGTTTACTTAAGTCAGATTGGCAAAATATATAACGTATTTTTTGGTGTGCTGCAGAATTTTAGTAATTAGTTTGTGTGTGCCATGAGATGAAAAAGGTTGAAACTCACTGGTTTAAAGGAGTTTGACATATGTAGTTTGGAAATTCTGGAAAGGCTTCTCTGAAAGAGTATTGGAGGAATGGTGGCATCTCAGCGGAGCTATAAGAAGTAGATAGATTTGAGAGAAGTTTAGGGGGTGAAGATGGGAGCACGGGTTTTAAGAATGAGTCCCTGGTTCTCAGATATGAAAGAGGAAATCTTACCTTTTGCAACAGCATGGATGGACCTGGGAGTATTATGCTAATTGAAATAAGCCAGTCAGAGAAATACAAATACCATATGATTCTATTTGTATGTGGAATTTAATGAACAAAATAAACTTAACAAACAGAATAGAAACAGACTCATAAATACAGAGAACAGACTGACAGCTGTCAGATGGGAGTGGGATTGGGGTACTTGGTGGAAAAGATGAAGGGAGTAGGCAAAGAAAAAGACAACTCATAGGTACAGACCTAATATGGTGATCATCAGAGGGAAAGGGGAATTGAGGGGAGGTAGAAGAGAGAAAAGGGGGGATAGATAGTGATAGGAGGCTTGACTTGGGGTGGTGAACACACAATATAATATACAGATGATGTATTATAGAATTGTACACCTGAAACATAGTCTTATTAACCAATGGCACCCCAATAAATTCAGTTTAAAAAATCTTGAAATTATCAACAAAAAAAACAGGATGAGTCCTGGTTTCTGGCTGTGCTGCTAAACAGATGTGCCATTCTCTGGAGTATAATGAGAAGAGCCAGAGGTTTGAAAAATAGCATTGAAGTTTGAGAAACTCCAATACTTGATGGCCAGGAAGGGGGAGGTTGTACCTGAAGGGGAGATAGAATGGAACCAGCCAGATCCACCAAAGGAGAACAGGGGAGTGTGCTGTCCTGGGAGGTGAGGGGAACGGATCTAGCATATAAGGAGAGGGAGCAGGCAGAAGAAATTAATCCTTTCAGTGAAGAAAAACAAAACAAAACAAAAATGGGGAGAATAGGATGGCTGCAGGTGAAGGTAGGTTTGCTATTTTATAATGAGAAGGTTCATCTTTGAAGAATGAGATGAGCTTGCCTCCTGAGGGGGAGTAGGAAGGCCGCTCTAATAAAGTTTGAGACTACTTTACATAGTCTTGGTCAATTTTGATAAATTTCTCCAGAGATACCTGCTGCCTCCATTCCTCACCACTGGCTCACTCCTGACACGACACCAGTAGGGTTTCCATACTCTCCCACGATAGCTGTTACTGTCACCACTGAACTCTATCATTAAATTCAAATTATGAGAAAGAAATTTGGAATCTACACTATTGGTATTATTTATTAGCTTCTATTGATTAAGCATCTGCTCAGTGTTAAATAAAAAAAAATTTAAAGTAGTCACTGTTGGGTTTTGTTGTTTTTTTTACCATAATCCCTATTTGTCAGAAGAATGATGAAAATGGAAACTGCTCAGGGGAAGGAATTGAATTCCCTACAACAAACTTATATGAACTGGAAAGCCGTGTTTTGACTGATCATTGGTCCATCCCTTACAAGAGAGAAGAATCGCTAGGAAAATGCTTGTTGGCGTCTACCTACCTTGCAAGACTTGGTAAGTTTTCAGACTTCAGAACTTGTGAGCAGATTTTTTTGTTTTTTAATAAGAGACCTGACTTTATAATCTTAGAACATTTACTCTATTCTTTGCTTATCCCCTGTGGAATATTTAAAGCTTTGAATTAAATCAACTGTTTTCATCCAGCTCCAATAGAGTGTAAGATTCTTTAAAATATAATTGAAAAAACTTATAAATTGAAATTAACTTTTCCACAGAAGCTTGGAGCATTTTAAAGGTCCCAATTCATTGGCTTTTTATTTTTTTAAGAGAAGGTAATATTTATTTAACAGACATTTTGTACTTACGTGTTTGGCACTGTCTTAAGTGCTTTACAAATATTAAACTAGTAGAGTAATAAAATAACACTAAGTTGGAAGAATGGGTGTCAATATAAGGAAGCTTCTATAGTATGTTTTAAGGAGAAAATAATTTCTTTTTCGTATTGAATTCAATTGTAAAGTAAGAATTGGGCCACTGTTATGTGGTTTTTTTCCTCCTTATTAAAAGTGTGCATAGTTTACCTCCATGATTAAATATGAGGCACATTAGTAGGTAGGAAATGTTTTCACAGGATTAGATTTAATCCTAATGGGCAATTTTCTGGTACGTTTATTACTGGCTTTTCAGCAGCAACATTTATTAAGTGCCTATTAGGATGTAGATACTGTGATAGGCAGTGGTTCCGAAAAAAGAAAATGTGTTCAGCATGCATTCACTTAGCAAGTTATCACTTACTGTGTGCCAGGCACCCTTCTGTGCATTTTGTTACACAGTTAATCAGTTTGTTTTAAGGAAGAAGAGTGATTTTTGGCATTTATTGAGAATATTTATATTTTATAGAGCTGTTTAGGAAAGTAACGGTAAGTAGTGTTTGGTTTTATTAGTTACAAGTGGCCCAGTGCACGTCCCTAACTGCCTCTGCCTGCCTGCCTAATCTTGCCCCCAACTGCCTCTGACTGCCTGATCACCCCTAACTGCCCTCCCCTGCCAGCCTGATCTCACCCCCAACTGCCCTCCTTTGCCAGCCTGATATTGCCCCCAACTGCCCTCCCATGCCAGCCTGGTTGTCCCCAACTGCCCTCCCCTGGCAGCCTGATCTTGCCCGCAACTACCCTCTCCTGCCAGCCTGATCTCGCCCCCAATGGCCCTCCCGTGCCAGCTAACTTGGTTCGGATTGGTCGGTTTCTATGCCAGTCAGCGTCAAAAGCTCTGCCTCCTAGGCAGCCATTGGCTCCTCACAGTTCACCCAGATTTGGTTCTGATTGGTCTGTTCCTATGCCAGTCAGCATCTCTGGCCTATCTCTGGGCCTGATCAGAGAGGTGGGGCTGATCAGTAGCCCCTGCGGAGACCCGGAGAAGAAGAGAGTGACACGGCTACTGGCGAAGCCTGGAGAGGAGAGGCAAGGGCTGATCAACAGCTGCCACGGAAGCTGCGGATCAGACCCTGCCTCTCTCTCTGGGCCTGATCCACAGCCTCCTCCCGCAGTCAGTGCTGGGTCGCTGTGCCCACACCCGCAGCAGTCAGTGCTGGGTCACCACAGCAACAGAGCACTGACTGCAGGACTGACTTCGGTGTTCAGTTGAGCCTTCGGTAGGGCTTACGGACCCTGGGTTTTTACATATTACGATTTAATCAGGTCATTTGAAGTTACTCTGACATGGAAACATAAGTTCAGCCATTTCAGTTCTAATTAATATTTATTTATTATACTATTTAACAAGTGTATATTAATAATAAGTAAAAATAAATATATTGTGGTACTAATAAATAAATTAATACTGTGATTGTTTCTCAGCCTGTTCCTTCATCAGAATGTATACATTCTGCTTTTAATAATCCCTTAAGAATCAAGTTTTCTATCATAAATAGTTCCAGATGTATGAATTTGAAATGGTACATATGGTCTCTACAAACTACTTAAAAATCTAAGGCATATTTTTTCATTTATTTTACTAAGGTCTTTCCGAGTCTGATGAGAATTGTAAAAGATTTATGGATAGGTGTATGCCTGAAGCATTTAAAAAGGTAAGAAGTATGTGCTCAGCTGATTTATTTTGTGCTGGGGTTGAAGTTGAACAGGCTTTTTGTTTTAGTTTTTTATGTGTGAGACCAGTTTATGAATCTTGTTCAACTGAGGAATCCTCTAATATGAAAAAAGTAGCTGTAAATTTGGGGCTTATAAATGATTTGCTTCTTTTGTATTTAATTGCTTGCACATGTCTTTGGTTGACTATCACTTCTGCTATTTAATTGTTAAGGTTAAAATATTATACTAGGAAATTAGACATCTTACTAAACTAAGGATTGTGGCACTTAGGAAGATAATATTTATCAGAATACAAGCCATTTTATACTTATTTTACTGAGGTGGAAGCAGATGTTTTAAACTACAGAAAGTTTGACTGAATTGAGTATTCTTGCTGGCAGAATGACATGCGGATGACAGCATCTGTGTGGGATAAAGTGATAATAGGAGACCACAGGACTTGTTTTTCTAACTTAAGGAAGGAAGATTCCCTTTTCAGGATGAGTCCTGAATTCCCACAAGAACTGGGGCAATGTCGTAGACACTGTAGTTTTTCCCAGCCTGTAGCCAGTGCTGAGCTCAAAGAAAAGATTTAGTAAATCTTTGTTGAAAGAATAAATGAGCCCTAGCTGTTTGTCTCAGTGGATAGAGCGTTGGCCTGTGGACTAAAGGTCCCGGGTTTGATTCTGTTCAAGGGCACATGCCTGGGTTGTGAGCTTGATTCCTGGTGGGGGGAAGAGCAAGAGGCAGCCGATCGATGATTCTCATCATTCATGTTTCTATATCTCCCTCTCCCTTCCTCCCTGAAATCAATAAAAATATATTTTTTTAAAAAAGAATAAACGAGTCTCCTGCTGTCTGGTACTTCTGGGTTTTCACAACCATTTTTGTCTCATGCAAGTAAATCACTACAACTACAGATGGGTAAAATTTAAACCCAGTGAAATAAACTGTTCATTTGCAAACTGTTATTCTCATCTGCATCTTGACAGATAGAATCTCCTTTGATTCACGACTTAAAAAATAACAAAATTAATTATAGGAACAAAAAATAGCTTCGTCTTTGAAAAAGGGAAGAAATCTTTAAAATTGTCATTCGGCCCTAGCTGGTTTGCCTCAGTGGATAGAGCATCAGCCTGTGGACTGAAGGGTCCCAGGTTTGATTCTGGTCAAGGGCACATGCCTGGGTTGTGAACTTCATCTCCAGTAGGGGGTATGCAGGAGGCAGCCAATCAAAGATTCTCATCATTCATGTTTCTATCTCTCTACCTCCCCCTTCCTCTCTGAAATCACTAAAAATATATTTAAAAAATAAAATTGTCATTCAGTTAGGGATTATTTGCAATGAGAATTTATCTTCATTTTGGATGAATTCATCGACCAATTTGTAGTTTAAAATTATTTTAAGTTTTTAAAAATTCTTGTAAGAATCAGGGTAGTAGTGTAACAAACCATGAGACATCTATAATAATAAAAGTGTAATATGCTAATTAAACCAGACAGCCAAAAGACCCTCCCAATGTCCTTCTGGATGAAGCCAGGGCTGTGAGGGCCGAGGCAAGCCACAGAGGCAACCTGCCTCAGCTGCGAGGGCCGAGCCCCTTGCACGAATTTTGTGCATCAGGCCTCTAGTATAATACATGCCTACATTTACAGAGACAGAAAAATGCAAGTTTCTTCAGTTATGGAAAGGATTTATTAGCATAAGGAAAGGACCTTTAGGTTGATGATCTCCAGATCCAGAGAACCCTGTCAATTCCTAGCAAGTTGCATTTTTGGAATATAATACTCTAATTCTATACAGAGATGCTTCAGAGGACTGTTTTATATTATGCCCTCAGCTGTTGGTACTAGTATAACAAATGATCAGGGGGTTGTTTGGGGGTTTCTCTGTAAAACTGTGAGCACACGGGCACCCTGCGTTGTATTGTTCATGGTTGTTTATGTAAAAATGCCTGTTAAATTTCTTTAGTGTTTAGAACTTTAAAAAAGATTCTCCTCCCATCACCAAGGCATGCTTTCCTTTATTAAACTGAAGAGCTACAGAATTCTGTGTGCCTTTAGACTTGGCTGCTGGGAAACTCGGAGTGTTTTATATAATTGGTCTTGGTTTCCTTAGCTGTGTTTTCTGGTATGATGACTCCTTCTAACCCACTTCTCTAGGGTTTTCTTATAAGCTGCCTCAAATTTTTTAGAAGGGTATAAGTAATTCATAAGCACTTGTATGAATAAGATGCACAAAAGGAGCTTGGTTGTCATTTCTGCTTTCTTCACCTTACTCCTTCAGGCCAGCCTGGATTCTTTACTAGTATATTGAGGGGGGAAATGTAGGTGTAGCCATAGTGCACAGGTATGCATCTTCCCCACCAGGGGCTGCCTGTCCCTGCCCATCTCTTCTGGAAGACAGAACTTCATTTTCCAATTAAAAATTGAATACTTGAGGTGGCAACAGAGGGAATAGTGCTTAATCCACCTACTTTTTTTTGTTATTGTCACTATGAAGCTTCTCAAATGTTAATCTCTGCTGCTTTAACTTTTAAATATAAGAAGACTATATAGGCAAGCAAAAAAACACTCCTTGGTTTATATAAAAATCGGTCTTATGATTATTGCTCATTTGAGCAAATAGTGCAACTAATTGGAATGTCAAAAATCTGAAACTGAGGTTTTCTTTTCCTCTGCAGCTAAAGAAGTTTGAGCTCTCTTAGGCTGCTTTTGTTAAGAGCTTGTTAATGTGGCCACGATTAAATTTTTATTGCACTGTATTTTCTCTCTGAAGGGAAATCTTATACAAACATGAAATCACTGTATCAATTTACCATCCTATCTAATAAAAGAGAAACATGGTAATTGGCGTACGACCGCTACTCTTCCCATTGGCTAATCAGGGCGATATGCAAATTAACTGCCAGCCAAGATGGCAGCCAGCAGCCAGGCAGCTTAAACTGAACATGAGGCTTGCTTGCTTCAGTGACAGAGGACTCCAATGTTCCCCGCCTGCCTTGCCGGCCTCTGAGCCTGCAGTTTGAACATTGTAACAAATATAGAAGCGAAACAAAACTCCAGAAACCTGCTTTTAGCGACCCGGGATCTCAGAGCTGGAGTTGATACAGTTTTGATTACAGAACCGAAACAAACCAGAT